GATATTTTAGCTGTAATGTTCCACAATAAGATTTAACTTATCTTGTATTTATTCAATTGGAAGAAAATGGATTGATGGATGTGTTTGTGTTACTATAAAACTGTGACTCACCTCTCTTCAAATCTGACCCCTAATTTGCTTGATGGTGACGCTTGTTATCTCCATGGAGATAGAACATTTTAACGCCATACTGTGGGACATTCTTCAGCTCCAACTGATACTAGTACAACATTCATGCTTGTCTAATACAAGAAATCACCAAGAAATTTGCCAGAGTATTTAATTTTGATGAAAAGCTACGTCATCACTTTATTTATACCCCTTTTATCAAACGCAGAAGTCTCATTGTCCGGTGTCTCTAAGCAACAATCTGTATAACAAAACTCAAAAACACATCAACTATTTGAATAATCTCTAATTGGTTACAACACTGGGCAGTTTTACTTACATAGAGAAAGCTGCTGACGGAGCAGAGTGGAGCTTAATGGGCTTGGCCTCTGTGACTCATCAGACTGAGCCATCACACAGAGTAATTGAGGCCAAGCTAAAGGCTAAACTAGCTTTTGTACAGTTGCTATAGTACTCTTTTACCTCCTACATGGATAGAATTAGCTCTTCAATTTGACAAAGCTGAAGAATATGGAAAGGCGGCTAGATGTAATGAGGACTAATGGAATTGATATATTGTTAAAAGACTACAAGTTTAGATGAAATAAAATGATGTCATGGTCAACAAATGACCTGTTGCTTTAAGAATGTGGAGAATAATTGTGAAAAAGCAGAAATCATACTGAAAAGACTCCACTGCAGGGAAAATTGCTCTATATCTGGTGTGAGATTTTCTATCATGCAATGCTTTAAAGTTTAAAATGTCCCATATTAGGCAAAATTGACTCTTGTGAGCTTTAAACCATGTTAGAATGTTGTTACCTCATCAAAATCATACCTGGAGTTGTGTTTTGTTTCCATGGATATTATCTTGAGTAACCCTGTAATATTAGTCTGTTACATTTCCAGAGCTCAAAATGCTCAAAATGGTCCACTTTGAGGCATCATGAAGCAGTACTTTTCAGTCTAGTTAACTTTAACTTTAGTTGTGGCCATACCAGCTTGTCAAAGACTAATCCTGTCAGATCTCAGAGGATAAGCATGGCCGGGCCTGGTTAGTACTTGGATGAGAGATCGCTGGAAAAAACAGGTGCCGCAGTGTAGTTGTAGTGTCCTAAGGCAAGACACTTCACCCACATTGCCTATGAAAGTGGTGTATGCGTGATTGGTGGTGGTCAGAAGAACTGATGGCGCAGATAGTGGAGTGAATGAATAATGCTCTATAGAGTGTCCAGAAAAGCGCTATATAAAACTGATGCATTATTATTTATTATTTTTAGTTCAGTAGAGATTGGCAATTCCAGGTCATCCAAATTATTCTAGTAAAGGTGTATGGAGTTTAAAAATACAGTGGAACACTTCCGTTATTACCACATGACATCACAAAGTGGAACAGGGTGTTTTGTGAAGAAGAACTCAGCCTGTGCAGAGGATGTGTGTTAAACATGTGTGAATGAAACAAAACATAACTCCAGGTATGTTTGTGATGAGGAAACAACATTATAACATCACAAACTTTCTTTAATTTTAGGATCATGCACTCAAAATTATATATTATTTGCATTGAGGTTGATCATTTCTGGACATAAACTATTAATGAAACCTCGAAAATACAGGCTGTTCTACATCACCTCGACAAAACAGTAAAAGTGTGAAAAAACAAAATCATAAATAAACTCCAAATAACTTTGTTCTGGATACTTTTACAAAAGTCTTGTATTGCCTGTAGCCTTCACACTTTTGTTTACCACAAACTAACTTGTTTCCTGTATCTTGGCATTTGTTAAGTCCAGCTACATTTACATGAACAGCAGCAGCAGCAGCAGTCAAATTAGCTGCCAGTTCTGCTCACAGCGCCAGTTTGAGAAGTAAACCCACACTTATGTAATCCAAATAAGGTCGGCAAGTGTTCTAACAATATACACAGCATTAAACTGTATACAGATCTTTAGAATCCCTGCGCGCATCTGAATACACATTTATACTGTATGTTTAGAGTGCAATGAAAAAACCTTGAAACGCTAGCCACCTTTAATTGATGTTTATTTGTCTCTCTCTCCACATGTATCAGAGGTAAACACTTTGCTAAAATCATTTCCTGCCTGCCACTATAGATTCCCCACTCAGCTTACCCAGATCAATAAATCATCAATCAGATCAAAATGGAGAAGAGGAGAGGAGAGGAGGGCAGTGTAGAAAACCAATATGGGAGATTGGAAAGTTGAAGAAAGTTTTTGAAATAAGCTATACTTTAAGATTTAAGACTCCTGTACTATGCATTTACTTCTTGACTTATTGCTTGTGGAACCCATTTTGCACAGTAATGAAAGCGCTCCCAAAATATCCTGAAAATGTCCTGAATGTTGTAGATTCTTTGTCATTCTCTAAAAACGTTCTTGTACAATCATTTTATTTCCCAACAAGCTTTGTGTTCATCTAGTTAGAAATGCATTTGGCACATTAAGACCATGGAGGCAAATTTGATTCCTACATAAAAAGTCACGGGAGAGGCATAAGAGATTTTCACTTGGCACTGATTAAGATGGACAACAGAATGAAGTAGTCTGCATGTGTCTGCCATGCTCTGATCCTCATTGACCGGCCAGGGAAATGGTTTTAGGTGATGGAGGAGATTCATCAGGGATGGAGAGAGAGAGAGAGAGAGAGAGAAGAGAGAGATATAGAGATAGGGAGATAGAGAGAGGGAGAGATGGAGAGAAACAGACTGAGACAGGTGAACAGAGAGAGGGAGAGAGAAAGAGAGGGAAACAGAGACTGATAGCGAGGGAGATAAAGTGGGAGAGAGAAGCAGAGAGAGAAAGACAGAAAGAGAGAGGGAGAGAAAGAGAGCAGGAGAGAGAAAGAGAGTGAGACAGAGACAGAGAGGGGGAGAGAGAGCGGTAAAGAGAAAGAGAGAAATAGAAGGAGATAGAGAGCGGGAGAGAGAAAGAGAGAGAGACAGAAAGAGAAAGACAGAGAGGAAAGGAGAAAGAGAGAGAGGGATAGAAAAAGAGAGAGAGAAGGAGAAAGAGAGAGAGAGAAAGAGAGCGAGACAGAGACATAGAGAGAGGGAGAGACAGTGGGAAAGAGAAAGAGAGGGAAGGAGAAAAAGAGGGAGACAGCGAGACGGAGAGAAAAAGAGAGAGAGCCAGAGAGAGGAAAGCAGAAAGAGAGGGAGAGAGAAAGAGGGGGAGATAAAGAGCAGAAGAGAGAAAGAGAGAGAGAAAGAGAGAAGGAGAAAGAGAGGGAGACAGAGACAGAGAGGGGGAGAGAGAGCGGTAAAGAGAAAGAGAGAAGGAGAAATAGAGGGAGATAGAGAGTGGGAGAGAGAAAGAGAGAGAGACAGAAAGAGAAAGACAGAGAGGAAAGGAGAAAGAGAGAGAGGGATAGAAAAAGAGAGAGAGAAAGAGAGCGAGACAGAGACATAGAGAGAGGGAGAGACAGTGGGAAAGAGAAAGAGAGAGAAGGAGAAAGAGAGGGAGACAGCGAGACGGAGAGAAAAAGAGAGAGAGCCAGAGAGAGGAAAGCAGAAAGAGAGGGAGAGAGAAAGAGGGGGGATAAAGAGCAGAAGAGAGAAAGAGAGAGAGAAAGAGAGAAGGAGAAAGAGAGGGAGATAAAGAGGAGGGAGACAGAGATAGAGACGGGGGGGAGTGAGAAAGAGAGGGAGATAAAGAGTGGGGGAGAGAGAGATAGAGACACAGAGAGAGGGGGAGAAAAAAGAGCGAGTGAGAGAGTGACAGTCAGTAGACACAGTAAGACAGAGAGAGACAGAGAAATACACACAAGGGAGAGAGACATAAAGAGAGAGAGATAGAGGGGCTGATACAGAGAAAGTGAGAGAGCGAGAGTGAGAGAGAAAGAGATATCTTTCATGTCAGCAGTCTTTTGCATTAGTCTTGGATTTGACCAGTTTTAGTTTAGACCTGGGTTTGAGAGAGAGTGACACAAACAGAAAGAGAAAGAATGGGTAGAGGGGTGAAAGAGAGAGTGGAGGGGGATGAGAGAGGTGGGTGGGGGTGCTGGGTGCTGCAGTGATCTGTCTCTTTCCATTGATGTAATGACACACAGGTGCCAGCTCACATCCACACACTCACTCCTATCATTAACCTCCGTGTTGCCCTGATTCAGACAGATCCAGAGTCCAAACTGTATGAAGCCGTGATCTAATACTGTGATTTAACTCTGTTCAGTCCAGTTATTTAAAACACAGAGCTCAGCAGTATCATTCTAAGGTTGCATCGAACAATACACATTTCATATACAAACTTATCTATTTACTTCAAAACAACTTCTGTGCGTTTGTTGGATTATAGAGGGAAATTGTAACACAATTCATCCAGAAAGCAATAACCCTAGACGCTGACTCAATCTTGGACTGGAAACATCTGTTAAATGGCTGAATTTATTTAACAGTTTTCCACCATCGCTGCCTCCCAAACTGCTCCGCATCAAGTATCCATTTACCCATCTGTTTTCTGAAACTATCATTCACGAAACAGACTTAGTGTCTTAGAAGCGAGATACTGATCAGCGTCTTGCTCAAGGGCACTTTGGCAATTTGAATCTAACTCCTGACAATTCCTTTAAGCCGTGATATAGCTTTTCCAAGACCCATTCAACAAACTGAAAGCCGATACATTTGTGTTGCACTGAACCAGATTGTCCCTATGGCTGGTCTGTGCTAATTTCAGTCTAGCGCCTTCCTTTTGAACTTAGTGAGACCGTAAACTTGGGGCAAACGGATATAACAACAAACATAAAAAGTAACATGACTTATTCATAGCAGAGGCAGTTATGCAACAACACAGCCGTTTGGGACACAGTTCAGGGAATAGTTGATTAAAAGAAGAAAATGTTCAGTTTGTTCCAGTACTTTTTTGGGACGCCCTTACCTCCCAGGTGATAGGTCCCTCCTGTGGTGATGCTGAGGGGTGAAGAAGAGCGCACCGCAGAAGCTTCCTCTCCATTTATGGTCAACATGGCAAAGTTCTCCTTGGCAACTAGACGAATGCTGTGCCACTGACCGTCGTTGAGCCCTGAACCTGCACACAGTAAAAATAACATTGTGAGCCACAGTAGTTTCAAAGTGCCTCATAAATACAAGCCGGAATCACAGTGTACCTCACGATTCAATATGATATTATCACAATATGATGATATGTGTGATAATCGATATATCACACATGATACTCTAGCTAATATAAAATAAAGCTATTGTAATCATCAAAACAGTGATTGTTGTAAAAAAAAAAAATAAATAAATAAATATATATATATATATATATATATATATATATATATATATATATATATATATATATATATAGCTAAAAATAATCTTGACGAACAATATATATTGATACAGCGGCACACAATAACAATACTGTGTCACCAAATTTAGTATCACGATACACCGGTATTTCAGTATTTTTGCACGCCCCTACTAATGAAGTTAACTGGGGTTTCTATAGGACTAAAGCATTTTCAATCAGTGAAGAGCAGAAAGTGGGCGTAGATGAGCAGGAACAAAGTGTCCTCGTCAAATGTGTACTTTACATGTTTACATTACACTTGGACATATTGCTGTTTTTATAGAAATTATTGCTCCCTGGCTGTGTCTCTTCTGTATATATGTTCTGCTATTGGCTTCAGAGTGAGTTTAAAAACACTCAATAGTGACTGTAAATCTGCTCAAGGTTCCTTTTTGCATGAATTTTCATATGTATGCCCCCCGCCTATCTTTCATTTTGAGTAAAGTGTGTTTTTGCCAGTCTCTTCTCCTTCATTACTCCTGAGAGCTCCAAGACACTGACAGCTGAGGGAGTGAATCTGAAAGTGTTGACCTTGCAACTAACTGGCAATAGTCCAGGGAGCACCTTTGACCCTCACTTCAATACACTGTTCAATAAATAGTTGATTGATTTGACTAAGTCTAGGTCAGTCCTGGTTTTGACCTGTTTAGTCCTGGTTTAGAGTTTATTTGGTCATAGACTGGGGGTGGATGATATTGTTTTGATTATTGTTGTGATTTCAATGAAGATATGCTGAGAATATTACTAAAATCCAACAGAAATGTGTTAAACATGTCTGCAAATGTCTTCTGTCCTTGTTGAAGTATTGCATAAACCATGACCAAGGTTATCATATTATATATACTATATTTTAAAGATCATATTCCCTCGTCAATAACATACCCAGAGTTAGATTGTTGTATATATGGATGAAACAATGGGATGGGGTGGGGGGTTGCTCTTGTTTTTAATTATTGTATTGTAATTTTTCTGTTGCATGTGAAGCACTTTGTGCTACATTTCAAATGTATGAGAAGTGCTATACAAATAAAGTTTGATTGATTGATTGATTGATAAAAAAAAAGTAGATCTTTATTTGGAAAATTACCACTACATGACATCACAAGGTGGAAAAGAGCATTTTGAGCTTTGGGACAGACTAAAAGGATTACTCAGACATGTATGAATGAAACAAAACACAACTCCAGGTATGGTTTTGAGGAGGTAAAAACATTATAACATGCCTTAAAGCTCAAAAGAATCCAGTTTGTGTAATATAGGACCTAATTCACAACTAGTTTGGTCCTGGTTAGCATCCGCTTTTGTCCTCATTTAGACTCCTTTCTCCTTCTCTTGGCCTGCTCCTGCTTTAGTTATATTTTCATATGCACTCTTCTCTGTTGCTCTGTCTCTCATTCTGAGCTCTGAGTGCAGTCGGTAGTCTCCAGGCCCCTATGTCTCAACTCCATTAACTCTGAGAGAACCCTGTTTGCATCTCTATGGCGAAGTAGCAGAGTGCCAGGCTGTACGTACCATCTTCAAGTGTCTGGGACCGTCTATGGCATGTCTCACGCTTGTCATTGCTCATGCACTCCTCCAGCTCCCTTGCTTTTTCCTTCTCTCCCCTTTCCTCTCTCTTCTCCATTAAATATGAGTGATGTTTTGGAAAGGGACATTACTAGTGGAGCCGAGAGAGAAGCCCGCTCAGTCTCATCACCCACAACGCCATACATCACCTCCACACTGACACCAATCTCTGCTCACTGCTCCTTCCCAGGTTTCCTTATAGTTCTTCCTGATTCCTCTCTTATATGCAGTATCCTCCCTCCTGCAATGCCCGGCTTTTCAATTCTGCTCATTGCTTCCTCCACTTTCACATCAATAGGGAGGACAGTGTGGCAAAGTTCAAGGTATGGGCAAATCACTCTCAGTGGTCTATAGCCAATGGATACACTCAAATCAATATAGGTGTACTTTAATGTGCGGCACTACCCATGGAGCTCAGAATGACGACAAGTGAGGACAGTTGCCATAGTAATTAAGGACAATTAAAGCACATATGACATGTTTTCAATGGTCTGGCATACCTGTGGTGAAGATGAATCATTGTTTTACAGCAGTTAAGTGGCAGTTTGTAGAAAAAAGTTGAGAAAAACAGGATGTAGTCCTAAAAACATAATACCTCTACGTCCGTCATCAACACTGAAAATTCTATCCAAAATGCAGGGTTAATTTACTCAAACACACTTCACAACACACATCAAACACGTCATTGATTTAGCAAAATAAAGGTGAGGCCATGAATTAGTATAATCAGAACTATTGTGTAATTTAGACAAGTTTTGGTCCTTGTTGCTAGGTAACAGAATGGGAATCGCCTCTACTTTTATCTTATCTGCTGCCAGGAAGTGAAATCCTAAACTTCACAAGGATTAAACTAGACAAAACTTGGCAAACTTAAATAGAATTACAGTAAGTTAACAAAGTTTTAGTGAAAAAAATATTGCCAATAACCTGCCAATATAATACGCACTTCAACAATTCAAAACAGAATATATCTTTTGAATGGTCAACTGTCCTCAAAATGGCACCATATAACAGTAAGCGGAGACGTGGAGAGCACACAGTGTTCACAGTGGACTGGTACTTTCCCTTCTAATATATGAGTCTTTATTTATTGTGTGTTTTGTCCCCAAATGCACTCAAAGGCGGTGATTTGGATCTCAGTGGGAGGGTGACACTAATTAAACTCTATCAGCAGGGTGACTGTGTTAGTGGAATGGGGATGACCACCTGCTGAAGCTGCACTGGCTATTGCAGTGTCCAGGGGCCTGATGGTGAGAGCTGGACTGAAAACCCATTGGCATATTCATCTTTATTAATCAAGTCTTCAATCTTTAATTTAGGCTTTTCATGCCTGGGGCGGCCACAACAAAGCACACACGCAGCATCTCTGCGCGGCGGTTCACATAATGACTGGTTATAGGTTTATTTCATTTGTCCATGGCTTTAGAGTAAGGGTGAGGGATAGGCCAAAAGATGTACATCACAGTTTTATTTTTGTTCATAGTTCATGTAGCTCAAAGCAGCCTTATGCTGTATTAAAGAAACTGAAAGCATTTGCTGAAAGCTGAAAGTTCATACTTGAAGGTGCACTATGTAACTTTTCTGATACACCAACTAATTGTATTTATGGTGATTTCACTGCCTGAAATTAACTCATCTTGCAGGACTTTTTATTGTTCAAAAATGCCTTGAAAAAACATGTTAAACGGGCCTCTTCTCAACTGATCTGACCTGTAAATTAACCTAGTGGGATGAGTTAGTGTTGCTAGTTAAAGTTAAGTTAAATGCCATACTGTGGGGCATTCAAGAAAAACAGGGAGTGTACAATCCATGAGAAAAGTTACATAATGTCGCTTGAAATTCATGTCTTAGTCACTCATCGACCAATACGAGTGGATAATGAAAAGAGTCTGTGTTTAAGTTGAGAGTTGCATTAGAAGAAATGAATCACAAACAATATGGCAATGACCACAGTAGCATATCTTCACAGGGATACGACTACTTTATTTTTTATCCTTCTCCACTTTGGACAAGCAAAAGGGGGAATTGCTTGTGACTCTCTGTGATAGTAAAACACAGCAATAAGAATCCAAGAGACACTTGCCGACTATTCAGGCAGTTGTCGTGCATTTCATGGTGTAATATATTAAAGATGCATCGTGCAACTTTTCTGGTGGAGCATCCATCAAATACTTTACTCTGTGCAGATGTTGGATGCAGATGGAGACCAAACCAGACAAAGTTACAGGTCAGATCTGTGGAGAGGTGACCTTGCTTACAGTCAGGCTAAGTTTATATGATGACCGTCTGAACAGAAGACGCAAAAGTGGCATCGCGTCTACACATTTTATTCCGCGTTTAGACAAGCGTTTTTGGGAGGGAATCTGCACGCATACGGTGATGCAAAAGTGTGTGGAATTCGATTGGGTATACTTGCAACAAGGGCATCTTTGGACATACGGAAGTTTTCACGCCACACACTTTCATCAGCTACTCCTTCCACAAAGTTCTCCCACCATCGACTGGTTCTCCCAAGTTTCGTCCATAGCCATAGCCGTGAATCCAGAATTTGACGAGGTGATTGCAGATCCTTCACTGTTCACTAATAGTATCTATGCATATTCTGTACATTTGTTGGGACATTTGTTTGTGTACTGTATGTATGTGATGTCTTGGGCAGTGTAGACGGAAACGCAACAGCAGAGCATATTCAACTTTTGCACTCTGGAGGGTGGTTTCAGATTTTTGCGTTTTTAAGCCCCCAAAAAGGCCATCACCGTCTAAACAAAAGGCACTTCCGATAAAATATTTTGTTGTTTTTACCTGCAAGCGTTCTCGTGTAAACAGGCCCTCAGAATGCCTGTTTTTCTAGGTATGTTTGAGCTATAAACCCACCTGTAATTGAATAAATGTAAGGCAGAGCTGTTTAATGTCATACTGTGAAACGTTCAGGCAGAGCAATGATGTATCCATAGAAACAAGCAGGTGACGAACCCCCAACCAAAAAGTTACATAGTGCACCTTTAAGTTATGTGTTTCTTTTGGTTTCTCATACTGTTGGAACCCTTTATCTAGTACATATCACATTACAAACCATTATATGACCTCCATTCTATTTAAAACTGCATTTTGGGTTCCAATTCAGTGACACCATCAGATCTTTGCATGCATGTCAGTATAGGCAT